AGCCATATAATTTAGCAAAGAAATATGTTGGTGGATGAGATGAGAATGGACAGAGTCCAACTTGGGCCTGCAGAGGTAAGCAGAATGTAAAGGCCTGATGTCCTTGGCTGATGTGGGAAGGCACAGTACAGAATAAATGCTTGAAAAAGCAGCTCTATCCAAGGAGAAGGTGTCATTGCCCCCAAAGCTATTGTTTCTGGGTTAGATATTGATTTAAAGGACAGCTGATAATCCAGCACCAGAATTTCGTGGTTACTGAAATTACAAATGATGCAATATCCCCATAAAAGCTGGAAGCTGCAGTGACTCCAGAAAGGTCACCTTATTTTTATAGAAATACAATATTTATTGTATGGTAATACCACCTGTCATTCTGAAGCCCATATTTCTTCATTCTCATGTGCTGGATCCATGCCTAGTTTTTGTTTCTATTGGAGTGGCGAAAATATCAGGTTTCCATCAGAAGCATCTGAAGGGGGAAGGCAAGTTACTCTAGGCTTGAAGTTAGCAGGACACACAGGAACAGCAGGAGAATGTGAATTTCGGCCTATTTGATCAGTCCCATAAATTGATTCTGTACCTTGTCACTGAATTGACCAGTGCCCTGCAGTATTTGCTTAAACGAAATCACTCTACTTGAGATGGGAAGAAGAGGCAGGGAGTTATTTTTGCTGGAGAATTAACTGCATACCATGAGTGATCCAGGGTTCAGGAAGGACTCTGATCGAGCACTGGTCTGTTTGACAATGATAGCTCCCATGCTTCAGCCCTCCACTGCTTCTGAGGCATTGGTATTTTACAACAGAACTTTTGCAAAACATAGTGCTATATTATTTAGCAATGCCACTGTCTTTATATAATATTTACTCTCAAGCACATCCTGCTCAACAAAGTCCCCTTCCAATGTGAATTAAAGTTGCCTGTTTTCAGGTCCTGCTTACAGAAAACACTGGACTGCGACGTTGTTTTCTAGAGGCGAGTGAGCAAAACAAAAGTAATTTCTGAGCAAAGGGCTTGTGTGGAATCAATAAGAGCAGAGGTGGGAACATGCTGTATTGTTATTACTATTAATATTGATTGGATTTCCCACCCAACCTTCACCATAAGATTCCAGGGTGGTTTACACAACGGTAAAATTAATATGAGTCAAAACAGTTTACAACCAAAAGATTAGGGTGGGATAAAAATACCAGGTGTCAAAGCCAGGGTAAAGAGGTGCGTCTTCAGCATATGGCAAAAGCCATATGATGAAGGTGCCATTGGCACCTCTGTGAAGAGGGAATTTTATAGTTTAGCTGATGTCCTCTCTGGACTGCCACCACCACCCCCAAACATCTGAGAATGGCCAGAGGTGATGGAAGTTGCAGTCCAACAATGTATGAAAAGATACAAATTCTCCATGCCTGAACAGGAGAGGCCAACGAAGAGCTCCTACCAGCACAATCCTTGGCAAAGTTGGCACAATGCACATTGCCAACTTTGACCTCCCAGTGCTGAAACAGTGCTATTGTCCTCCACAGTGCATCCCATGCCTATTTACATGTTTAGAAGAATGCAATCCTAACCCACTCATCTGGGAGTAAACCCCACTGAATTCAATAGGACTGATTAAACATTCTGTATCTATCTCTCTATCATCTGTCTATCTATTTGCCACCCATTTGACATGGTTGCCCCATCCACTCTGGGCGGCTCCCAACAAAATATTCAAAACACCATCAAACATCAAACATTAAAAACTTCCCTCTACAGGTCTGCCTTCAGATGTCTTCTTAGGATTGCTTTGATTATGTCCATTGGGTCTATCATCATAGTTAGGGTTTAGACTGCTGCCCTATATATTAGTTGTCCTCTGTGGCAGCTTAGAACTTTGAACAACTTGCTTGCCTTCCCTGTCAGATGATCCTATTTGAAACCTGATATTTTAGTCACTCCAGTAGAAACAAAGGCTAGGTACACACATTTACTCCCATTTACTCTACATCTCATGTGCTCCCACCACTGGTTTGGGAAGTTGTGCATATGCAACATTACCCGCAACTCATATCCTTCCTGTATCCTTCCTTTTGTTTCTTATGGAACACTGTGTTTTGATGTGTTTCCCTTCCCAAACCAGCTTCAATCCGAATTGAGTAAAAGAACATCCTAGTTGCCTTTTTAGACGGTAATGTGTACACATCCAAAGTCTAGGCACAGATGCAGTACATGAGGTTGAAGAAATGGGGGCCTCAAAATAACAGAAGACATCACCAGACAGCAGTTTCATGTGCTGACTTCCTCAGCAACCTGTTAGCAAGAGGCTTCTATCTGTCTCAGCAAGACTCTGCAACTATGTATGGAGATTTTAGCCGGGGGTCAAAAAAACACCTCCCGTTCTTCTTGCTTGCTTGCTTGCTTGCAATAACAGGGGGCTTTCAAGAAACTGGTAGGCCATAATTTGATGGTGGTGGGATGTTTTCAGCTTGATGGTTCACAAAGTGTGCAGGCCTTTGTCTGAGGGATTGTTATAAATGTGCCCAGCAAGCTAGCTTAGAGCGTAAGAACATAAGAAGAGTCTTATGGATCAAGCCATTGGCCCATTGGTCCAGCGGCATCCTGTTTTCACAGTGGCCAATCAGATGTTCCAATGGGAAGCCTGCAAGAAGGAGCCAAACACAAAAGCAGTCTCCTCTCCTGCAGATTCCAGCAGCTGGTATGCAGAAGAATTACTGCCTCAAGCTTCTTCTCAATGGTCTCTTTTGCCTGAAATTTCCTGCTTTCCCCAGGTCAGCCTTTGATCCATCTCAAGTAACCGTTAGCTTTTACCATTTGTTAGACTAGCTGCTGCTATTAACTAAGAAGACATGCTTTACTGATTTGTATTGGGAGAATCTAATTAGACATTATTGTGTCTGCATTGATTTTAGCTAAAGTAGTGGAGCTCAGTCCCTCTCTCTTTTAATCAGAGCCTAATCTAAACAAATGAATGCATCATTACTTCAGGTGTCTTTGAGAAACAAACTAATTTTGTTTGTTTTATTTAAAAAAACTAAACCCACCACCGTTTAGCATTTAGCACTTGAACCTTAGTGCATAGCAGCACTTTTCAAAGGGTGTGCGTTTCTTATAGATTACTAGAAAGCAATTGCGTAATTCAGAATTATATAGGCTGTGATTCATATGCCCACGAGCATGTGAGTTCCAGCTGTAAAAAAAAGCCCTGCATTTAGGGCTTTAAACGCTGCTATAAGCACCTTGAATTCAGCCTGCAAACAACCAGGCAATCCATGCAGCTGTTTTAGAACAGAGACTACTATCATCATCATCATCATCATCATCATCTCTCTCTCTCTCTCTCTCTCTCTTTCTCTCTTTCTTTCTTTCTTTCTTTCTTCATATTGATTTTATATGCTGCCCTATACCCGCAGGTCTCAGGATGGTTTACAGAATAAAATCAAAATATAAAACCACAAAATCCATAATCAAAATAAAAACAACAACAACCCACTACCCCCCCCCAATTTTTATTTTTTTTTAGGGCATGTCAATCAAATCAATCAAAGCTTGGTTAAAAAGGAACGCTTTTCCCTGGCACCTAAAGGTGTATAATGAAGGCACCAGGTGAACTTCCACAGATGGGGAGCCACTGCAGATAAGGCCCGTTCTCGTGTTGCCACCCTCTGGACCTGCACAGCTCTGGCTATGTGAAGTTTCCAAAAACTTTGCTTCACAATAGATGAAAAACCCTTCCGTTTTCGGAAGTGCCTTAGTAAAGTCCCTCAATTTCTCATCCAAGACTTTGTCACTAAAAGGAAGTCTGCAAAAGCCCTCAAATATGACTGTCACAGAGAGTTGGGAAATTTAGGGTTAAGTTACAGAAAACACCTAAATATTTAAATCCTATCGTAAGTAATCTGTGGATAAAGCTTACTGAGAATATATAAAGGAGTGTCACCTAAGCTTTAGCTCAGACAGGAGCTTTGTCAGACAAACTCAGGGATTTCACAGCTCCTTTATGCTCAAGCCTGAGGCACCGTCACTAAAATGTGCCCTGTAGGCTGACTCAAGGACTACATCATTTACTGGAGCCTTAAGAATCAGCCTTTAGGGGCTTTTGCACAGCTCTTCACTGTGATTATTACTTTCCAAGATGAAAGGTGCTCAAATCTGTCAATTTTGGTTTTTCTCGGTTTCTCATTTTTTCCAGTCATAAGTTCAGTTTTGCACATTTCCACATCAGTGTGATTAAAACTTCCTCAGGAAAATTAATTTGCGAATTTATCCCGATATGCACATTTTTGTGTGTATGCAACTTGGCCTAATGTGCACATTTTAGCAAAGCATACTTCTCTAACCTAATATATAGGAATGTTGTTCTCGCTAACATACACTTTTTTTGTTCACACTACATTCATTTTTGTACACATTACGTGGTAGAAGAACTGCATTGCAAAATTCAGAGAAACTCACATTTGGTTCGCATGCTATTTGGAAAGTGTGGAGTAGGTGGGAATATCTTTAAATGTGAACTGGGTTGAATTTCTCTCCCACCCCTATCCAGGATTTGGATAAAAAGGAGGTGTACACTTTAGATTTGTGTGTGTGTGTGATTTGATTTGCTGTTCTCTCTCATCAAACATGAATGTGTTGGCATACAGAAGAGAGAGAGAAGTGAAGTGCACAATATTTGGCTCACCTCTAGCACAAATCAAACTTCATTTATGAAGCCAGTATAATTTCTTGGACTCTTAAACAATGGCATGTGCTAGTTTGGTTTGCTTCCCTTTTAGCCCTGGTAGGTCCTGTCTGAATGTTCATTTCAGTTGCCTTCATATTAAGCACTGGCATGATGGCAGCCTCTTTAAATAAATGCTGGCCCTGCTTTTCCACCTGACTGGAGATTACTCAATGACCTCTTGCGAGCACATCCAGCTCTTCAGACACACAAATCCTATTAAAAGGAAACAGAATTTATGTTTGTGCTGCACACAGACTTCTCTGCAAAATATTCACTCTGCATCTGTGTGTGTGTGTGTGTGTGTGTGTGTGTGTGTGTGAAAGCTTACAGCTTGCAATCGTAAGCGCGCGCGCACACACACGCACACACACAATCAGGAGAAAGTCCTACTGAATATATTGGAACTCACTTCCAAGTTAGCGGGTACAGAATTGTGCTGAGCTACTTCCAGCATCTTATTGCTCAGAAAGCTGATTGCAGCTGAGCTTTTTGCCAGGATTTGTAATAAATAGTGCTGAATTAGTAACTTCCAGAAAAGGGGGGAAGAGAATCTCCTTTAAAGCACTCCATCCTTTCTGTGAACTCCTTGCTTAATAACACAGTCTCCATCCCCTCTTATAAGCATTTTCATTTCTTGCTGCTCTTCTTTCTCCTGACCCTCCTATTCCCTCCCATCTTCTATTCTCTCCCCATTGTTAAAATGTATGTTGGTTGTAAGGGCCAAACTGGCATGATATGGGAGGTGTGGTCGTCAAAATTCTTTGTGTTTGTAAAACAATAGCAGCTGACCTCTCCCGCTTCCCACTACAACAATGCATACCTTCCAACATTTCTCTGAAGAAAATAGGAACATCCTATTCCATAATGGTGATGGTGGTGATGGTGGTGATGATGGTGATGATGATGATGATGATGATGATGATGATTTTATTTTATTTTATTTTTTTATACCCCACCCATCTGTCTGGGTTGCCCCAGCTACTCTGGGCAGCTTCCAACATATATAAAAATATTTTTTAAAAACATTAAAAAAAACTTTCCGCATACAGGGCTGCCTTCAGATATCTTCCAAAGGTTATATAGTTACTTATCTCCTTGGCTGATAAGTCACATAACTCCATACTCTCCAGCATTTCTCAGATGAAAATCGGGATATCCTAAGAAAAAGTGGGACATTCCAGGATCAAATTAGAAACTGGGACAGCTTCTGTAAAAAATAAAAAAAAATGCATTATAAAAGGGGGGTTTGTTTTAATTTTGTTTCTTTAACAACGTTTATATGCCACTTGATAGCGGTTTACTAGAAATGTTTAAATTATCAGTAAAAAGCATCGCTTTTTTTTTCTGTGATAAACAGTGTGCAGGTTGTGTGGATAGTGAGAAGAAGCTCTGAAAAGGTTAAATGCTTTCTGGCATAATTATATTTGTTGAAAAGAATAGCTAGCACAATTTCCTCGGTTCAGAATATGGACCATTTCACGTGAACTCCCAGAACATAACACCTGCACAAGGTCCCTTCTTCGTCCTGCCATCAGTCACTTACATGGCACAAAGACTGCAACTTCAAAGGTCGATACTCCCACCTTGTGGCTGATGCAGGTAAAGTATATGTTAATAAAAGTCCTGAAATGAGCAATATGACTGCAAGCCACAGATTTCTATTGTTTACTATTAGGATTACATGAAAAGCAAGAGGTGGGGTACTATAGCTGTCAAGAACATTGGTTATGAGCTATAAAGTCTCTTTGTTCAAGAAAGCCCTCCTGGTGTGTGATCTAGTCAACCATGGAATATTGTTTGCATATATGTAAATATGGTTTTATTGCTTTTAGAGCTTTTTAGAAGTGATTTTATTTGATTTTTTTATTTTTGGGTGCTTTATACTATTTTTACTGCGACGCGGGTGGCGCTGTGGTCTAAACCACAGAGCCTAGGGCTTGCCGATCAGAAGGTGGGCGGTTCGAATCCCCGCGACGGGGTGAGCTCCCATTGCTCAGTCCCAGCTCCTGCCAACGAAGCAGTTCGAAAGCAAGTCAAAGTGCAAGTAGATAAATAGGTACCGCTCTGGCGGGAAGGTAAACGGCATTTCCATGTGCTGCTCTGGTTCGCCAGAAGTGGCTTAGTCATGCTGGCCACATGATCCGGAAGCTGTATGCCGGCTCCCTTGGCCAGTAAAGTCAGATGAGCACCGCAACCCCAGAGTCGTTCGCAACTGGACCTAACGGTCAGGGGTCCCTTTGCCTTTTTATACTATTTTTATTTTGTACACCCCACTGATGGCCTAGGACCGTGAAGCAGTCTTTATATCTGTTAAATAAATGCAAATGTAAAGTGTCTTCTTCTATCTCACCTTAGCCCTAAACTCACTTAGGCAAGACTCATTCAGTTTACCATGCCCTCCGACATTTCTCCAATGAAAATAGGGACATCCTAAGGAAAAGTGGAACATTCCGGGATCAAATCAGAAACCAGGGCGGCTTCTCTAAATCAGGGACGTCCCTGGAAAATGGGACACTTGGAGGGTCTGATAGCAGTGTAAGTCACAGCTTGGTTTGCTCTGTTACTTAAGGGCATTTATAGGATTCTTTCTGAGTTCAATTGCTGAAGAATTTCTGCATAAAATATCACTGGGAAGCAAACCCTTGATTTATCTCCAGAGCACTTTCAGAGCACAGCGGTGTCTCGTCCTGCCAGTGTGGCCTAGCTATCTTAGAATATATGAATCTCTGTCAAACTAATGAATAAGTATCATGTAAGCACCTGAGATGGAGAGCCTTTTTTCTACTTAAAGTGTTTTCATATTTTATAATAAAAGGAAGCATTTGAAGACTTGAAAATGAAGACATACGTATGACCGGATCCTCCTGCATGTTTGCAGGAATTGAATTCTTGAGGAACGTACAGAAGTCTACTTGCTATCTCACATGACAGAATATTGTTAACAATAACTTACATAGCGTATTGGCAAGGCAGCTACAGCAATGGCTCACCTCTTCAAAAGGGGATGGGAGAATGCAATGCTCATGTTCAATACCACGATGAAGGTCAACCAGACTTGGGTGTTGAGCACGCTGCTTCATGGAAGTGAGTCGTGGGCAACTTACAACAGTCAGGAGTGAGGCCTCAATGCCTTCAACATCAGGAGGATTTTGGGCAGTGCCGGATTTACGTATCAACTAAACAAGCTATAGCTTAAGGCCCCACTCTCTTGGGGGCCCCCAAAAATTTAAAGGGGAAAAAACTGGATGTACATTTCCAAAATATAAGTTAAAAAACAAATAGGATAAAACCTATATACAGTGACAGTGTTTTGTGTTGTGTAGGCTCCTATGATGTAAGTAACGGGCACTACCTGCTCCCTAAAATATCACTGGTTTGCTCATTTCTATATATACGGTGCCTACATTCTGCATGTGCAAATGGCTTTAGATACCTTTTAGGTCCATAAATTACCACATAGCATATATTCAACACAAAAAACAGCGACAATTTGTTGTTGACGAAGGACAGCTGGGCCCCATCAGGGCCCCATCAAACCTAAATCCGGCCCTGATTTGGGGTTTTACATGACAGGACAGAATTTAAAACAAAGATGTGCTCTCCGAAGCCCACATTCCTAGCATGTTTGCACTGCTGCCTCAGCAACTTCTGTGCTGGCTTGGTCATGTCCAAACCTTGGTCGAAAAAGAGCTCTGCCTTGGGCCCAGGGAATATTTGCCACCTCCAATAAGACTGAGGTGATTAGCATCCTGCTGACCTCAGTCCTCCTCAAAGGCATCTGAACAGGGGCTCTCACTTTTGCAAGAGCCCCATAGCAAACGCTCGCAGCATCCCTAGGATAAAAAGCACCTAGAGGACAGACTACAGGAATAAGGGCAGTGGGTCCAGCATCCAATTGGCCTGCAAAAGAACAACTCGCCCTGGTTTCACCTGCCTGAAGGGCCTGCTGTCTTCACATGCAGCTTAGGCCTATGGAAGGCTGAAGGCAAGAGAAAAACAGCTCCACTTTGAGCTGCCAGTCTCTTGTCTGCTAAGAGAACACAGATGAAGGACCCGTTATTAGGATTAGTCCCAGAGCCCAGATAACATGCTGAGACATACACAATGACCCAATTACAACACCAAGACCGAATAATTTCAGTACACGTCGTGCCTGGAGAATTACACTGTTACCATTTTACACTGAGAGTAGAATTGCACACTTGTTAATTAGCATTCCTACTCTTCTTTTTCACATATGCAATTATAACGTATTTTGTACTCGGGTTGAAAGATGCATGCATGGTGTGATATGGGAATGGCCCATGCCAGTCTAATTTTTGTCACAGTGTTTGCATAGCAGGCACAGGAAGGAGGCATGACATGGGCCAGCTGCCTGAAGACACAACTGTGGAAAATGCGGAACTGGTTGAATTTTTTTGCCTGCCATTCAGCTGTTAAAGACATCACCTCTCTAGAAGAAAATGAAAATGTGACCGCCCTTTTTTGTTACTGTCCTTCAACTACAGAAGGTCAATGGGTAATGCACACTATATACACCTTAGGCTTTTTTTTTTTTTAAGGAAGGTTTAAAATCTAGCCTTGGTGGAATGTCTGTTTATACAGAATCATAGAACTGTAAAGTTGGAAGGGATCCTCTGAGCATCATCATTCTAGCCCAACTCCCTGCAATACAGGAATCTTTTGCTCAACATCAGGCTCAAACGCACAGACCCTGAGATTAAGAGTCTCATGCTCTACCGACTGAGCTATCCATAATTAGGCAAATTGAACATGGAGAACAAAATGGTCATGGGAGAAGGAGGAAAAAGAAATCATGTTGTGGAGAGTACAGAAAGAACCTACAGACTTTGGACTAGCAACAGCAGCTCCTCCTCTCCCAACCTGGTGCCCTTCAGATGCTATGGACTAGAACTCGTGTCAGTCCCAGGCAGCATATCTGGAGGGCACCAGATTGCCAAATGTTGTTCTACAACATTGCCTTCTCAGGTGTGATTATAGTTCAGCAGATATTAATGCTAGAGTCTGTGTATCACATAGCAGGAACAGAAACCAGCTCTTCCACTGACTTAACCTTGCAGGTTAAGTGCCACCTAGTGGCTCATCTCTAACTGATGTCACATCTATTTAGGACCGTTGAACACAATCTTTATCTATATAAGGACATGGTTTCTAAATGTAAGGGATAAAACCATAGTTATTTTGAGGTAGGCAGGTATTCAAACCATCAACTTTATTTTAATCGCATATACCAAATATATGTGGATCCCTAGTTGTGATAGCAGATGTCACAGAACATGTGCTTTATTCATTCAGATAGGATAGTTCCTCCTGGCTCCTCCTTTATGTCTGTGTGCCACTTAAAATGCTGAGAAACTGAGATGGGACAATCTTTTGATGGAACTGTACCAGCTCCAGATTTTTTTTTGTTTAAGGTGTTGGAGGTTAGGTGTTTCAAAGCATGATGCCACAGGAATCTTTTTTTCAAATCTGCAACCATTTCCCACACCAACATTTCCCACCTGATGCTCTCCTGATCCATGGTTGCATTAGCTGGAGCAGATGGGAGTTGTAGTCCAAAATATCTGGAGAACATCGGGTTGAGGAAGGTTGTCCCACACAGACACATGGAGCAGTAGCACTTACCGTACTTTACGTTATAGGTGAAATCATAACTTTACGGTTTGTGCCCAGAGAGAAACCAACAATAAAATCAAACATCCCCTACAAATAATAGTCATTCCAAATCAAACTGTTCTTAAAAGCACTCAGGTTAAATGTTCAGGGATTTGTTTGATTGTTTTATATCCCAATCCTTCATAAATTGCTCTGCACGCATTTTCCTAAACGTGGATAAATGCCATCCAGGTTCACACTGAGGACTGGGAAAGAGGAAATTGTAGCTCTTTGAGGGGAATAGGGGTCTCCTAACAAAACCCGGAACCCTTAACAAACTACAGCTCCCAGAAATCTTTAAGGGAACCCATGACATCACATGTGCAGTGTGAATGTAGACAGCGGGCCTCTGAGATTTCACAAATCAAACCGAGGACACATTTACTAAGGTGAAAAGGAAAACAACATTAGTTCCTAGAGATGGTTGGACCAATATTGTAATCACATGCAATATTAAGCATGGATCTTTCTCAAATGCTAAACTAGAATGTGTGTGTGTGTGTGTTGATGTATGTTGACAGATGTACAGAAAAATACAGAGCGATGATAAATATGCAGTCCACATTGCAAGCTCAGTGTAATTGCTATGGTCGCACTGCAAAGAAGCTCTTCCACCTGAGGACAGATCACTCAGTTCTTCCTTTACTGGCAAAGAAAAGATCAACATGGCTTATTTCAGTATTAGTGCAATAAACACAATATCCTAAGGAAACTGGCTGGGCTGCCATCTGGATAACAGGTGTGCTGCCATTTATACAGTCCCTTGGCAGGGGTACATATGCTATGCCTATCTCAACTTCCATTTCAGATAGCTTCTGCCCTGTGTCACCTTGAGCTCAAGAAGGTGGTACTTAGTTTCAACAGCTGGATCTTGTTTCCACTCCACCAAGAGCAACTTCTAGGAAGTACAGAATTTGCTTCCTAGTTTAAAAAAGTAACCATTTATATCCTACTTGAGGAACAAGCCTATTGACATGTTGTGTACATCATATATTTAACACACAGAGAGAGAGTTGTTCTTCAAAACAGTAGTAATATCCTGAAGAAGGAAGTGATAAATAATGGGGATTTCCTCGGCCTCTTTTAAACAAGAGCTTCCATGGCTGTCTTCTTAATAAGTTTCAGGTGCAGCTGATCCCTGGAATCTGCCAGAGGAAGTGAAAGCTTTTAAGATGCCTGCAGATAAAACACGCCAGGGCAAGAGAACAGATGTGCTTCTTTCTTGTGGTTGCATTGGGAGATGCCGTAAACATAAAGTGCAAGGAAAAGATGAAGCATCATTCATTGAATCCGTATGACCTCCCACGGTCACACCCTTCAAGTTTGGTTGAAACATTGCCATCCTATTTGGTGATCCAGTCAACACAGAATCAGAAGTATGCATTTGATTCATCAAACTTGGTTTGGTTTGCTTGATTATTAGTGCAACTGACAAAATCTGTAGGCTTGGGGTGGCATTCAACTACTGCATCCCAGAATAGGATGCTGGATTAGATTGGCCTGACAAGGGAAGTAATAGTGCCACTGTATTCTGCTCTGGTCAGACCTCACCTGGAGTACTGTGTCCAGTTCTGGGCACCACAGTTCAAGAAGGACACTGACAAACTGGAACGTGTCCAGAGGAGGGCAACCAAAATGGTCAAAGGCCTGGAAACGATGCCTTATGAGGAACGGCTAAGGGAGCTGGGCATGTTTAGCCTGGAGAAGAGGAGGTTAAGGGGTGATATGATAGCCATGCTCAAATATATAAAAGGATGTCACATAGAGGAGGGAGAAAGGTTGTTTTCTGCTGCTCCAGAGAAGCGGACACGGAGCAATGGATCCAAATTACAAGAAAGAAGATTCCACCTAAACATTAGGAAGAACTTCCTGACAGTAAGAGCTGTTCAACAGTGGAATTTGCTGCCAAGGAGTGTGGTGGAGTCTCCTTCTTTGGAGGTCTTTAAGCAGAGGCTTGACAACCATATGTCAGGAGTGCTCTGATGGTGTTTCCTGCTTGGCAGAGGGTTGGACTCGATGGCCCTTGTGGTCTATTCCAACTCTATGATTCTATGACCCAGCAGAGCTCTTCTTATGTTCTTAATAATGCAATCTGTATTGATCTGTGGTCCCTGCAGCTGCTCCCAGTTACAAGTCTAGCTGCCGCATCCTAGATTAGTTGTAGTTCCTGAGTCACCTTCAAAGGTAACACCACGTAGAGTGCATTGCACTAGTCCAGGCATGGCCAAACTTGACCCTCCAGCTGTTTTGGAACTACAACTCCCATCATCCCTAGCTAACAGGACCAGTGGTCAGGGATGATGGGAATTGTAGTCCCAAAACAACTGGAGGGCCAAATTTGGCCATGCCTGCAGTAGTCCAAGCGGGAGATAACCAGGGCATGTACCACTCTGGTGGGCCAAAACTAACAAAATGGATTTCAATACAGTCAAATGTAAGGTTCTACACACAGGCAGAAAGAATCAGCTGCACAAATATAGAATGGGGGGACCCCTGGATTATCAGTAGTATATGTGAAAATGATCTTAGTAGACCACAAGCTAAACATGAGTCAACAGCAGAAAAAAAGTGCTAATGCTATTCTAGCCTGCATAAACAGAAGTACAGTGGTACCTCGGGTTACATACACTTCAGGTTACATACGCTTCAGGTTACAGACTCCGCTAACCCAGAAATAGTACCTCGGGTTAAGAACTTTGCTTCAGGATGAGAATAGAAATCGTGCAGCGGTGGCACAGTGGCAGCGGGAGGCCCCATTAGCTAAAGTGGTGCTTCAGGTTAAGATCAGTTTCAGGCTAAGAACAGACCTCCAGAATGAATTAAGTTCTTAACCCGAGGTACCACTGTATAGTGTCCCAATCAAGAAAAATAATGGTGCTGCTCTATTCTGCCTTGGTCAGAATACACCAGGAGTACTGTGCCCAGTTCTGGGCACCACAATTTAAGAAAGATATTGAGAAGCAACAACATGTGTAGAGGAGGGCAACCAAGATAATTAACGACCTGAGAACCAAGCCTTATGAGGAACAATTGAGGGAACTGGGTATGCTTGGCCTGGTAAAGAGGAGACTGACAGAAGATATGATCGCCATCTTCCAATATCTAAAAGGCTATCATATGAAAGATGGAGCAAGCTTGTTTTCTCCTGCTCCAGAGGCTACGTCCCAAACCAATGAATTCAAGTTACAAGAAAGGAAATTTTGGCTAAACATCAGATGTTAAGAGCTGTTTGACAGTGGAACAGGCTCCCACAAGAGGTGATGGACTCTCATTCCCTGAAGAGGTTGGATGGCCAACTGTCATGTATGATCTAGCTGAGATTTCTGCATTGCAGAGGATTGGACTATATGATCTTTGGGGTCCCTTCTAACTCTACAATTCTATGATTCATGATGTACAGGCTCCAGGATCAGACGTACCATGCCTCGGAATACCAGTTGCCGGAAACACAAGCGAGAGAGTGCAGTTGCATTCATGTCCAGCTTGTGGGCGACCCAGAGACATCTGGTTAGCTATTGTGAGAACAGGATGTTAGGCTATGTGGGCCTTTGGTCTGATCCATCAGGACTCTTCTTATGTTCATGCATCCATATGGTGAGCAGGAAGTTTGTGAGGGAAGCCAGAAATATATCCAGTTACAAAGGATGAACCCTAGGAAATGGATATAACAATAAACATATGTTCAAGGTACACCATCAGTATCTATGAGAAACTTCAACAGATATCAGACTGCTATACAAAAGACTTGGCCCCAGGAATACATTGTTTAATATCTGTTCTATTGTGCATTTCTTGTGGCACATTAAAGGCAAGAAACACAGGGACTTAGGTGGTCTCCCACTGGCCATATTCAGACCTTCAGCAAGGTTCCTGTATCATGGGCCTTCAGCCCATACCTTTAAAATACATAAAACAATTGTCAGAATGGTTTCTCCACTTCACCACTTGATTTCTTTATGGATTTGAACAACTTCTGATTGCTCAGTTGGGTGCTGATCATCTTAGGCACATTAAAATCATTGTAATCATGAGTTGGTAGATTAAATCAGGAGTTTATCTGAGGTGGCACTAAGCTTAAT